AATGGGATTGTGGTTGTGTTACATCTCGAGATGAGAAATTAGGTTTTGAATCTGTATAATATTTCAAGTCTCTTGGATTTTCTGATGCAATCTTCCATCAACTCGATGTAATAAATCAAGAGTGTAGTTTCCTTGGCAAGCTTCATCGAGAACAATTTTAGGAAACTTTGACATAATGCTATGGGACATGTTGAGCCTAGATGTGGGGCATACCAAGCCACCCAAAAACAGGTTGAGTCAACTTAGCACGACTTGATTTACACTAGCATTTGTGCTGCTAGTTTGTGACAACAGTGATATTCTTGCGCATTTTGATAAATATAATGATCAAAAATTTTTACAGGTCAACAATGCAGGAATCGGTGGAGTCACTGGGGATTGGGAAGCATTTAAAGACTAGGTATATGTCGCTGACCTATTCTCTTACGCACAAACAAATTACACCACTGTAATAAAAGATAGGCAAGTGAAGAAAACCAAGAAAGTTGAGTTGATGAAGACGTTAAAAAATAAAACTTATGCAATGGCTGAAGAATGTATATAAACAAACTACAATGGCACAAAAAGAGGAACTTCTTCCATTCGTCATATTATCAGATTCAGGAAGAATAGTAAACGTGTCTGAAACTATAGGGAAACTTCAGGTATACGAATTTATCACAAAACTTTGCCAATGGAATCTAATTATTTCTCCTTATTCTTGTAGGGGGAAATGACATGGACTTGGAGAAGAGTTAAATGACATGGACTTGCTCACTAGAGGGCATAGCGAGAGAGCTTAGGCCTTAGGAAGAGAAGAAAGTCCAACTTCCACTGGATCTCCATTCCATTCCCTGGAGGCTTCGAGCATCTATCACCCTGGAGATTTCTCTATAAATCAGTACTACGGCTGAGAGAATAAATGAGATGGTGAATGGATTTCTCAAAGATTTCAAGAATGTGGCTTTGAAGTCAAAAGTTTGGCCCTTGTATCTATCAACATATAGTGTCAAAAGCAGCTGTCAAAGCCAATACAAGGATTCTTGCCAAGAGTACACTAGTCTATGCATGAATTGTGTTTGTCCTGATTTTGTGAAGACGGATATGAACTCAAACATGGGAATTCACACCGTCGAAGATAGGAAAAGGGCCCTGTTAAGTTGGCTTTCGAAGCTGATGTTTTTATACTCTAACCACACTAGTTTGTGTACTATTATTTCAAAACTCTTTTTTTCCTCAAATTAATTTTCAACCACACATTCTCACAATAAATATTTTGCATGTAAATTCAAAACTTTTTCTTACTTTTAACCTCACATTGTCCAAAAATTCACTATTCCAAAACTCATTTCCCTACTTTAATGGTAGACAGACAGTGGCATAGTTTGATTAACTGAAACAAGCATACATACCTACAAACCTGAAAAGAGGTAATTTGATTTCTGATTAACATCTGAAATCCTAAACCCTAAGCCCTAATCATATCCCGACAATCCTTTTCTAAAGACATAATAATATCAATGGTGCTATACTTACATAGGAAAAACATACAGGCATTTCATAGAATACACACATTAGCGAGGCCCACCTAAATAAAAAATTCACATGAGACCCATCCCATGTGTCTTCCCTGTAAAACCTCGATAAGAAAATGCCCTGTACATTGGGCATTTTCCTAATAATATAGCTTACAATAAACATCTGAAATGTTAGATCCCAGAGCCCAAAATTTATATCCTCGAAATCAACTTTAGTCAAGAGACATCAGAAACTTGTTTAAATGAACTCAACCCTAGTCAAGGGTTCTCGACTAAACTTGAGTTGGTCTTTTGTTACATTTTCTACTTTCATTGAATGCCGACAGCTCGAAAATGTTTTACTATGTTCTTTCAATCAAGATAACTTGAAAGAAACAGAGTTGGGAGAATGGGACTTGAGCCATCTAAACTTGAGCACACTTGATAGGTATCAACCAAAAAATTCTTAACGATCAATTCGACACCAATCAATGCTACAATAAGCCTTTAACATAAAGATTTATATTATCGATTTTTTCTTGAAAATTGTCTGTATTTCAGACACTATGAAAAATGATTTACCAATATAATAATCCAAATTCAACGCAAAGAAAGCAGACATCATTTTTTCAGTCAATAAAGGGTAACAAAAACATCATCATACCAAACCAATCTTTTGACACCCGAGCAATGGGGTTAGATCCAAATTTTCAAAACGAAACACTACATACGTCCAAAAAAGTACCAAGATTGAAGCCATTCAGTCAATACGCTATACCAAGCAGTAATAAAATGAGTGTCAATTCCATAAACGCTAACCCTTCAATCAAGAACCCTAATCGATCATTCAAACTTTTCAATAATGTCAGAAATGACCTTCTCCATGTCCAGTGCCTTCATGTCTGTAAATGGCCTCTTCATATCCAGCAGACTTACAAAAATCTCCCCACCTTCCTCTCTAATTTCAAAGCAGCCTCTCCTCGGCTTCACGGGGTTGACCACCACGTTCACTCCCTCCAGTCCCTTCTCCAACCCATTCTTGACCTGAAGAGCTCGAGTCTTGAACGAGTTACACTGATTGCAGTGTTCAATGACTATGGCCTTGGATCCTTCAAGAACCGCCGGCTCAGGTTCCGCCGGTTGCTGTGGTGCTCGTGGGCCTTTTGCCTTTTTCTTGGTATTAGTTGTTTTGGCCTTCTTTTTCTTGGGTGCTCTTGGGTCAGCAGCAACAGAAGGGTTAGTGGTTTTGGCTTTACGAGCAGAGCTTTGGGTAACTTTGGCGGCGGCGGCGGAGGACCTGGTGGTGATGGTGGAAGAGGACCCCATATTTTCATTTTTCCGTTGCCTAGGCGCCATTAGAAATTCAAGAACAAAAACCAGAACCCTAGAAATATCCCTGTAACAAGCTCTACATTTTACTCTCTGTAAAATTGGAAACTGCAAGTGCTCAGCCTTTTATCGAAGCCTCTTACACTTTTTAAATTAACATTTTAATTTAGGGGTACGAGTTTCACACCTCAAAATTGGAGAGTTAAAATCACTCTCTATAATTAAACGCATTTAAAATATTTCAATTTTGAATTGAAAAAAATAATATAATAATTTCGAGAGAAGCTGGTGAAAATAAAAAATAGAAAAAATTAATAAATATTTCTTAGAAATAGAAAGTAAAAAAGTTAAATATAAAGACCCTAGTGGAGTATTTGAAAATTTTATTCTCAAAATTTATAAATGCTCACTAAATTGTAAAATATATATATATATTTTTTTTTTTTGTTAAAATAGAACCTTTTAGAGATGCTTTAACCCTATCAAATACAAGGGCTCTAAAGATGTTTCGAGGTTGAAGTGTTTACACCACAACCACTCATTTCCACTTATGGAGAGGTAGATTTGTGGAAGACATGTTTACGAGGTTTGCCCTCCAACTTGGATATTGACTATAATTTATAAGAGTTTTTTATGTCAAGAATAAAGTGGCAAACTACTTCGGCCCCACCTTTCCTTGTTCAATGGTGGAATCGGGAAATGGAAAACATGTTTCCCATCTTAAATATGAGATCGAATCGATAATCTATATTAAGTGTGTGTTTGAACTACATTATTTTGGAAAAATGTATTTTGGAACAGTATATTGATGAAGAATGTGTGGTTAAAAAAATGAGAAATTTTTTTGAAGTTGTGTGTAATATTATTTTATTAAAAAATGTGTGATTGAAATGATATCAAATATATTTTTTTAAAAAGAATACAGCTCAAACAGGGCCTAAGAGTTTTCAACACATCTAACGAAAAATTTATTGATGAAAAATAAAACAATTAACATCAATTTTTTTATGTGAAGTTTTAGCTACGAATCTTAATATTATTTCATCGGAAATAACATTTATTGACTATTTATTTTTCCACGAATATCTCATATATTGTTGTTGCTGTCATTGTCGTTGTTGTATAAACACTAGATTAATGATACTTGTCTTTAATTATGATATAAGTACTCTAGGTGGCATTGAGCCTCTAGATGGTGAATCAAAGGAAGGAATAGATACTAGTGGAGGAAGAGGAGAAGATGGTGAATGAGGAGTCATTAACGAAGATTTACTTGGAGAATGTGTACAGTAGAGGAATATTGAGGGGGAGAATCATAAATCGGATGAAAGGTTGTCGGTTAAGGGAGGACAGGAGAATTTGTGGCAGCAGTAGAAGAGGTAGAAGAAGAACGATGAAATGGAAAAGATTTTTTCATTAAAAATGGCATGTATTGATAGTAGATTATTATTGAATTAATTTCAAGACACAAGTAGCCTTTATGTTGTAAACTAAACATGGAAAGGCACCTTGTAATGATGAGCACTGCATTTTGTTATCAGAAGGGAAAACGAGAACTCCAAAAACTTTGAGATTGATATAGATGAATTTTTTTGTAAAGAAGCTTATAAGGTGACTTGTTGGATAAAGTTTGATTTGATAACAAATTGATAAGGCATGTGGGAGTTTGAAAAGCACAAGGCGACCAAAAATGTGGCAGAGCATGACATTGAGCTAATAGAGTAAGTCCCATTTCCACCACAAGTCTATTTTTTCTTCACACGTGCCTATTTTGTGGGGTGTGAGCACAAGAAAAATGATGTTCAATGCCTTGAGAGCTAATGAGAATGGTTAAGGGTTTTCATTTGTTCCTTGATCAGTTTAAATATGTTTGATTTAGCATCAAATTGAATGTTCAGGGTAAATTCCACATCGAATAATTATCAAAATATTGAACAACATATAAGGGTTTAAACAACTCATCTTAACAAGATTAATATTTTAAGATGAAACATCAAGTCTTAACATAGTATCATAGCTCCTTAATTTCAACATGCAATTTAATCCGAATAACACTAAAAAATGAATACACAAATATCAAGGCTCGTCCACTCAAGAGAGCTACCATCTATCGAGGGCATATTAAGAAAAAAAATTCACATCAAATAATCATCAAAATAGACCAATACCAATATCTAAGGGTTTAGATAACTCATATTAACAATGTTGATCTTAAAAGATAGAACATAAGTCTTCATACAGTAAACTTTTTGAACTTGAGAAATGTGGGAACTGGGAAGTATCTTCCTTGATCAGTTTGAATTTATTTGATTTTGGCATCAAATTGAGTTTCAGAAAACTTTTTGAACTTGAGAAATGTGGGAAGTGTCTCGTCCTGAGATTTAAGCAAGTAAACCTTGCATAATGGATTGAATATGAGACACACCCATATCATAAGGTTTAACATCTCTAGATTCAGTTAATGGAAAAGGTAGTCGATGACTGTTGACCAACTCCTAAGCGCTCTTGGATTGAAATTAACATTATGTAAAGACAAAACTGTGTAAATTACTTTTGACGAGGGATGTTCTAATCTAGAGCGCCAAAGGCTAGTTTAATTTGATCGATTGAAATGAGTTTGAAAAGGTGCAGTAGGAGAGAAGCTTGAATTGAGAGAATCTGGGATAAAAGGTGATGAAGAAGTAGCAAAGAGCAAGTCCAATATTGGAGATACAGATGCACTTAACGTTATCTGGTACTGTTAGATGAAGAGTAGCACCATAGTCCATGTACCGATAATTTTTGCCCACCATTTTTGGCGTAGTAAGAAGTGAGGATGACGTCATTGCTACCGTTAGTGTGTTGGGTGGAGCTTGAAATTGAGAATTATGAAGCATATTGCTGATAATATGTCGATACTCGATATTGTAACAAGATGAAGCATATTGTTTGGATGTGCATTATAATTTTGTACAATGGGTCTTGGGACATGGAAAATATCCGGGGTCTCCATTGCAAAGTTCAAGTGCAAAAGTGGGTATCCGGACCCTGATGAGATTTCATCGCCGTTGTTGGACAATGGATCGATGTAGCTCTCATTCCATCATATAACTAAAGAAGAGGAATTTGAAAATATTGCTTTTTGTACTGTATTTGCTCAAAATGTCTATACAGAGAATGAGGGGCTTATATGGAAAATTGTGGGTACAACACAAATGTTATGTGTGGGTAAACTAGTCAACTATGAATGTACATGAAATGTTTTATAAGTGCTGTAAAAGCAATATTTGAATACACGTGAATGTTAATCAATTTAAAATTAATAGAAGGGAATATGTATGTCACAATGAATGTTAAATCATTTATTTAATATCCAATTAAGTTAAACTTGATGTTAATTAGCAGACATGAATGTGAATAATGAAATGCATTTTTGAATGTAAAATTATGATTAACTTATAATTAAAATTAATAACAGTAAAATGCATAAATGAAGATGGATATTAATCAAATGAATGTGAATATTAATTAATTGAGAATTAATAATAGAAAATTCATATGTTAATGAAATCACATGGGTGAAATGAATTTGTCAAACGTAACATTGTTGGTAACTAAATGGTTAAATAAATTAAATACATATTGAAAAATGAAAAGTAAAGTTTTATTGAAATAATTAAATTATAGTACAGTTAAACTTGTCCAAAAAATTATTCTCACTTGATATCATATCTAATTCCAATTAAGTAAAATTCAATGTTAATTAGTATACATGGATGTGAATAATGAAATAGATTCTTAAATATGAATTTATGATTAACTTATAATTAGATTAATAACACTGAAATGCATAAATAAAAATGAATATTAATTAAATGAATGTAAATTTTAATTAATTGAGAATTAATAATAGGGAATTAATACATTAATGAAAGTATACAGGTGAAATTAATGTGTCAAATGTATATGTACATTAATAGCAACTAAACGGTTAAAGAAAATAAATACATATTGAAAAATATAAAGTAAGGCATTAATGAAATAACTGAATTGTAGTAGGGCTAGAATTATCCAATAAATAATTCTCATTTAATGTGATATTTATATCATAGATTATAGATAAGAGGCTAAGGCTAAATGTTTAATTTTCTATTTGTATCATTTACTCTTTAAAGATCACAACTAATGATAAATAACATTATACTACATACGAGATTACAAACGCCAAAACTTTTATTTATCTTCTCATGAATCTAGGTGGCAATTTGAAGTTTGAAAGAATCCATCAAGGACCTTCCATTTTTCATATCTCCAAACAAAATTTGTATGAGTTGTATCCTCTATATTTGAAATCTATACAAACCCTATAAAGAACTTTCTCTCTATGCTTCATTGCTTTGCAAGATTATAGATTAATATTGTCATTCCTTCTGTTTCTTCAAAAACTTACAATTGTGCAGAAAAGGTACGCTTTTGTTCTTACATTTATGCATTTGTTTTGACTCATACAGTTTTTAAGTTTTGGTTTCTTAACTTTGAAAATTGAAGGCGCATATATAGCATTGTATTCTGAAAAGGTGAGGGTAATTTAAATGGAAAAATGTTAATTTTCTAAAAACCTCATGGTGTCGTTTTTACTATGACTCGAGGAATTTTAAACTTAAAGGGCCTATTTGGGAGTTTGGGGTAGTAGTTATGAATTTTTAAGCATTGATTTTGGACGTCAATAAGAAGTGTGATTTTAGCTGACTTTTAGTAATGGTT